TATTCACTAGTGTTGAAAATTTGAAAAATTCTGAATGAGGTGTTCTCAAGTTTAAAACGAAAACCTTGAAAGACAAAAACTTAAACTGAGAAAATGGTCGGCTCAACAATACAGCAGAACAAAAATGTAATATTTAAGGGCTTAAGTAAGCTCCTGAAAAATATAAAAATTCCTTTACACGAGATTTCAATATTTTTGTTTCTCTTCTCATTTATATTCTACTTCAAATTCTGTGCAAATCTGTAAGGAAAAAAATCCCCATTGATTTGTAAGAAACTTAAATTTGCATACCTCTTATGAGCTACCAGACAAGGACAGTTGCGGAATTGAACTCAGATTTTGCAAACCGGGACCTATAGAGTAAATAACTACCCAGAGCTTCCCGCAAGAACGATATATCAACATTGAAGGTTTGATGCCAAATGGAAAAGGCATTCTCTAGTTATTGCACAGAAATAAATGTTTGAATTTTCATAAATTTTATCAACAAAATTTGCAAATTGGTACATAATCAGTTCAAAAACTAATCCAAACCTTTCTGTAAGTAAAATTCACTGGTGTTCAAGGCTTAAAGCCAATCAGAGGCGATCATCAGTTAAAAATCAGAATTCACTCCTTTGATCAAAATCGGTAAATTAAAACTAATACATCCTAAAATAGACACCTGAGCAGCACAGGTATTTTTATATCTGCTCAGGAAGTTTCTTCGGTCGAAAACAGGAAATTATGACACTGGGGTAAGTTAAAAGAAGTGGAGTAATTTTGAAGTTCTCAGGCCTTCCCATAGGTGGTTAGTCCCTTCACCTAAAGTAAAGGTATGAGGCTAGAGACTTATATGCTAAAGCTATAGGCGAGGTGTAGCAGCGGGAGATGGCGTCGCAGATGAGTGGGACCAACTAGTGGAAGTAGAACATACCACTTCATCTCTCTCAGTAGCTCAGCTCTCTCATTATCTTGCTCACTGTCATCTGTTATTCTCTTTTCTTTAGGTAATTTTGTATGATTATCTTCCATTTAAGCTTTATATTCTTTTAGCTTTCTCAGCTCTGTTTCCAAGGTTTTCGTAACACACAACTAGATTTAGCTGTACTTGTTGTTCTCCTACTTGATTTCACTTTTTTAACAGTGCTAACAATATTCTATTGTTTTATGGTTTAGCAAGCCTTGTATTGCCTAATTTATTTCATCCAAATGTTTTTATTAATATTTTCAGACATACGAACATTTCCTCTGTTCTTTTCAATAGTTTTATCTTTCTCTTTCAGAGTTAACTTCATGTTTTTCGTAATGAATCTTTCGTTACCACTGTTTCATTCGTCATAATTTCATTTTGTTTATTTAGCTTTTATATTAGTCTTTTTGCCTTACCTGATTTTTTTTCATTTTCATAATTTTGTCTATCCATCCTCTTGTTTTCATTTCTCCAGGCATAAAGTCAAATCTGAATCCGGTGCCTTCTCACTTATAACTTTTCCGTTCCATTAGTAACCTTTCCTTATTCTAAAAAGTTATATACATGCGCCATTCTATCCACTTCACTATAAACAATGTGTGTGTGTGTGTGTGTGTGTGTGTGTGTGTGTGTGTGTGTGTGTGTGTGTGTGTGTGTGTTGTTGTGTGTGTATGTTTGTGTGCGCGCGCGTGTGTGTGTGTGTTTGTGATAATACTGTTTCATTCTGGACTTGCAGGAACCAGGCGGATGACGAAGAGATTCCGGATTTGCTCATCGATTTTCTAACACCTAATTATTAAAATATTATTCCTTTCATGACTGCTCTGCGTTTAGGTGAAGAGATTAGCTTAGTTTTGTTACCAGGAAGCAGTGACAGCAACTGCAGCAGGAGAAGCAGCAGCAACAGTAACACCAACAACAAAAGTAGCAGCAACGTAAGAAGCAGAAGCAGCATTAGCAGGAGGAGGAGGAGGAGCAGCAGCAGCATCGGTAACAGCAGCAGCATGAGTAACAGCAGCAGCAGCAGCAGCAAACAACTCAAAAAACATTTAAACGTGTTGCTGATATATTTATTAGCACATGTAAAGCTTGTTTTAAGTAAATATTAGGATATATATACTTGCCAAATTCATATTAAGTGCCTCTATTTATAAGACAGCTAGATTTAGGGAAACTACTTTTAAATGTAGCAAATTTTCAGTGATCTTAAGTGAAACACTTCGTGTGTCGCAAGTATATATTAAGCACAGCTCGAGAGAGTTTTGACGTGATAAGATTACCAATCCTCCAGTCTTTATAAATAACTATTTCGGCATTGAGTATTCGCTACGTTTGAAGGTATATCTGTGAAGTAATATAATTAGTGTCAATTAGCCTGTTAAAAGTCTTATAATTTATACGTAACCTGGTTTTGGACAGAGACTCACCCACACCACCTGACTGTGAGCTTGCAATTAATTTATGTAGAACGCCTTGAACACATACATATATACATGTCTATCTTAGCGTGTTTATTAACCTTTCTGTTTTTACATTGCACGCCCATAGCTGCAGAGTTCCATGTTGGCAATGGTAAGTCCAAGCGAGTCTTTCAGCAACACTGCACACCACTGCTCGTCCTGCTTTTCTTGTGGAGTGTCCAGCTTCCGCGTCTTTCAAGGTACGGGCGACAGCTGCCAGCACACACACATGCACTCACGCACGTACACACACAGATGTGGGGCACGCACACGCATTTATGCTCATACACACACACACACTCGAGGATAGTTCCAGAGGTAATGAGAAGGAGTTATGTGGAGAGGATAATGTAACTGCATGTGATGAAAACAGAGAACAGAAAAGCCAGAGGAGAAATAATAATATGAAAGATGCTCAAGAATTTCTAGGGTGGACATGGATAGACTGAGATGGGTGACAGGGATGTCAGGAAGTGTTTCGACAACTTTACGGTAGTCAGGAAGTGGAATGTCCTCAACGAAGTAGTGGGGACAGACTCCACAGACATTTTCTTGCAGTTGACATGACAGGACTCATGAGGCTACGAGGGGATGTACTTAGCAGGAGCTCAGACTCACATATAGATGAGTACATAAAGATTAACAAAAGCATACAGAGACACACGCAGAGGCACACACACACAGAGGCACACACACACACAGAGGCACACACACACAGAGGCACACACACACAGAGGCACACACACACAGAGGCACACACACACAGAGGCACACACACACAGAGGCACACACACACAGAGGCACACACACACAGAGGCACACACACACAGAGGCACACACACGCAGAGGCACACACACACACAGAGGCACACACACACACACAGAGGCACACAGAAGCACACACACACAGAGGCACACACACACAGAGGCACACACACACAGAGGCACACACACACACACAGAGGCACACACACACAGAGGCACACATACACACAGAGGCACACAGAAGCACACACACACAGAGGCACACACACACACACACACACACACACACACACACACACACACACACACACACACACAAACACACACACACCTGTGCAAATATAATTCCATGTTCCTGGTTACTATTTAACTACAGGTGTGAAGGGTACTGAGTTATGGCTCCTACAGATGCTTATAGGTGTTAAACATGCTCAGTGACACTCCTTCACACCTGCACTCAGAAAGTAACCACTAACAATACCAATGTATTTGTGCAGGAAGCTTATCCCTCATACTGCATGCTAACGCTGCGCGAATATTGCCACCTTATACCTGACACCTGCTACCTTAGCTGATAATATATGATTGCTCTATGATAAAGCACACTTGTGTGATTTATGCAAGTAACTTTAAAGGATACATGTACTATTTTGACTCTGTGTGCTAGCCATTATCTCTTAGATCCCTTGAGTACCTCATTCATATCCCCGGGGCGAGGAGAGTCACTCTTCATTGACATGCACTTCATAAAGCTGCTCCGTGTTGTCTGGGTGTGTTTACCTTGCTTGTCCATTCTTTTTAAGTGCCCCGCCTCTCTCTCTCTCTCTCTCTCTCTCTCTCTCTCTCTCTCTCTCTCTCTCTCTCTCTCTCTCTCTCTCTCTCTCTCTCTCTGTCTACCATTTCCTCTGTTCAAATACGCAGATACAGACTCGTTCTCTTGTCTTCTGATAATTTAACTTTAAGCAATCACTAACTTTCACCCCTCCTCCTGCCTAGGGTACAGTCTAAGCCCTTATATCCAGGGCACAGTTTAAGCCCCTATACCCTGGGCACAGTCTCTACTTTCCAACTGACCAAGATATAGTCTCATTCCCCCTGATGCAGAGGGATTAGACTCATTCTTTCGTCCCTCCCCAGCCCATTTGTCAAGGTTACAGCACTAGCCTCTGTCATGCCTAAGGCTCGATCTCATTCCCTCTTCATACCCAGAGAAAGACTACAAACCCCCTCCCCCCTTCCTACCTAGGGTAATAACTAAGTCCAACCATCTGCCTCAGTCATCCCTCCTGCCCTGGTCAAGACTCCGCCACTCTCACCTCCAAACCCCAACACACACTTGCTCTGGCGACAGCCACTACACAAACTTTGGCGACAGCTACACTCCGCACACTTCGGCGACAGCCATACTCAATACACTCCGACAACAGCCACACTCCTCACATTTACTCTGGCGACAGAAACTGCAACTTTCATTCACAGTAATTACTCAGCGGAGGCACACATGTCTGTCTGTTGAAGTTCTTATCTGAGTAACACATCTTTGTAACTGATAATAATTTACAACGAAACATTCTTTGTGCTTGGTATTTCTAGGGCATGGTATTGCAGCTATAAGCTTCGACCATATAACCTATAATAATAATAATAGTAATGAAAATAATAGTGAAAATAGATGCACTTCGGTCGCTGCGCGATTGGAGAAAGGTATCCCTGTATTGCATAAGCCTAGTCCCCTGTACCTCAGTGCATGCAACTGGAATAGTGCAAAGTTTGGTATATGTTGATAATGCAGTTACATGATATTTTTTGGAAACCTGAAGGGAATCTGAAGAGACATTCACAAATTATCAAATGGGAACAAATATCCAAATTTCTTCAATGAAAATGATAATTTAGGATATCAACAGCCTCAAACTAATTCGAACCTTCCGCTAAGAAACACCAGCTTTGAAGCTAAACTGAAGAGGCATTCTCTTGTTATCCCAAGAAGACCAATATCCTAAATTACACAAACACGATAATTGTGAAACCGCTCAGAAGCTGCATTATTAAGTTATCAGAGTTGAAGGGTTTAAGCATGCAACACACACATATTATTGCATGAAAAACGGCATTTCGGTTTTACGTGTTTTTTTACCATGTGAAAAATCTAATTTGGACCTACAAAGGCCAAAATAGTTGCAGCATTTAAGTAATTAAATAATAATTATGAAAGTAATTAAGTTTCATTTAAACCTTACTTACAAAACTTTTTACAATGGTTTCTAGGGCACATAGTTGATATAGTTGTATCAAGGAACATTATGTACATTTAGCAGAGAATTATTCTACAAAGTAAGAAGCTGTATTAATGTTGGTAGGATTACCGACAATATGTTAGTTAAAAAGACACAAGTGCAACTAATGTGACATTTTATTGTGGCAACGTTTCGCTCTCCAGGAGCTTTGTCAAGCCTAGAGCGAAACGTTGCCACAATAAAATGTCACATTAATTACATTTGTGTCCTTTTTGCCTAACATAAAAAGCTGTGACTTATTTCTGCTCATAAGAGACAATCTCCAATAATTTCATATTTAAATGTACTATACCAAAATTCAATGAGAATCTTCTATCTAGGAAAATACATGTCAATACTAAAAGTTAATGTGATAAATTGTTTGGAAAACCGACAAGTTGAAGATTGAGACGCTTATACAACATATTGGAATCCTTATTAAGGAAATGTTTCGCCACTCAGTGGCTTCATCAGTCCAATACAAAGCAGAAAGGGGTAAGGAGACCTCGGACAACATCGTCAGGGAACACCACCGCGAATCCAACACCGTCAAAAGATTTAGAACCATCTGCATAAACAGCGATGGCATGAGCATGCGACCAGAAGTAATCAAGAAAGAGAGAGCAAGAAGCAATCGTAGGCAGGAGAGCTTTGGCGCAAGGCAGTAGGGGAAAACAGATACGAACCGTTGGAACCTCCCAAGGAAAAAGGGAAAAGGCAGACGCTAAATGAACATACAAGGGAGGCAACTGGAGAGAAAACTGGAGTGAGTGAAGACGAAGAGAAAACGGTCGGAGTAGGCAGGGGTGCCGAACAAATAATGGGCTTCGACTAACGTCTGACACCAATCTATACGTAGAAGGAATACGAAGGTCATGAGAGTGGACAAAGTAACGAAGGCAATGAGCATCACGACGATCAGCTAAGGAAGGAGCATTCGCCTCAGCATAGAGGCTTTCAACAGGGGATGAACGAAAGGCACCAAGGCATAAACGTAGACCCTGATGATGAAAGGGATCTAACTTAAAAAAGTTGTAGGAGAAACCACAGAATAGACTTGGTCACCATAATCCAGCTTGGACAATACTAGGGTGGAATGCAAACGGAAGAGAGTCCGACGATCTGTTCCCCATGAACGATGAGCAAGAATTTTAAGGAGATTCAGCAGACCATGGCAAACTGCCTTCAGAGAGGAAATGTGAGGTTTCCATGTCAACCGGCGATAGAAGAGGAGGCCAAGAAACTTGACCGTATCACATTCTGGAATACGTAAGCCGTCTAAATTCAATGGAATATTTGGAACAAGAGGACGTCTAGTGAAGGTAATGAAATGGGTTTTCGCACTAGAAGATTTAAACCCATGAGAAGTGGTCAGTCACCATTACCAGGAGACATTTATAGCCAAGAGAAAAAGGGTAGTGCTAAGGACACAACCTTGTGGGACACCCTCGGCCTGAACAAAGTCTGAGGAAAGCGAGGCGCCAACACAGACACGAAAATGTCTGTCAGATAAGAAAGTAGCAAGGAAGGTTGGTAGATTACCACGGAGGCCTTAGGAGTGGGCTTGGGCTAAAATGTTAAACATCCAAGTGGTGTCATATGCCTTCTCAAGATCAAAAAAAGACTGCTAGGACGGACTGTTTGTTATCAAAGGCTTTTCGCACATATGTATCTAAGTGAAGCAAGGGGTCCAAGAAGAGCTGCCTTTGCAAAAGCCATATTGGTGAGGAGAAAGACTATTGTGAGTCTCCAAATACCATACCAGACGTTTATTCATGTTACTTCTTTCTTATTATTATTTTAAAGAAAAAAAGAAAGAAGGAAAGAAAAAAAAAGAGGGACAGCAGAGGGACGGCCACTAGAAGGCATGAAATGGCAGTACGTTCCCCTCCTCATCCAAAAGGACCTCGAAACTGCAAGCAGTGCAGATGAAGCGTGGAACCCATGCCATACACTACCCTTCATGCCAGTAAACCAGCGCTCCAGGATAGCAACCTCACATCAACCGAGCCACCTCAGCGGACAAAAAAGAGGGCGGTCGGAAACCCACCAAAAAACATGCTTCCTTTGGCTGCCACCTCCCAGAACCGAGAGGAAGCTTCTGGAGATACACATGTCACCTACAGGACACCCCCGCAAACTTCTCGGAAATTCGGAAAGGAAGCAGAGCGCCTCCA